AAGTGCAAATTTAAGGGCAGTGACTGGGATACTTTGTATTGGTCTCAGTGACTGGGATACTTTGTTGCAAAGCATAAGGTGTGAAAATATATTTTCTTGCTGGTGACTTCATGTACTCTCATTGTGTTTGGTCATGTTTAAAACAATTATGAATTATATGAATATATAAATTGAACCCAGTGATGCTTCATACACAACACAACCTCTTGAGCTGCTCAATGATTTTGGGGTCAGAAAGGCAAATGACCAAACCATGCCAACTCTAGATTCGAGTTCCTCTCCAGCTCATAGTGATACCAATATTTCTGGTAATACTGAGTTTTATTTATAATCGGTAATACTGAGTTATAAAATGTTTAATTGCAGAGCCCTCTCATGTTAGATTTCAAATTACATGGCATTAGAGTTCAGACAGTTACAAAAAAATCAAGAGTAGAAGATTTAAGACAATGCGGTCTTGGTATTGAGTATAGTGTAAGCTTAAAAAATGCTTAAAGAAGATGTAGGACATGGAAAAATTCACAGAAGAGTTCACTTTAGATAGGCCACAAATGCCTCTGCTAAACCAAGAGCAGGAAAGGTTTGACAGTTCCAAAAAAACCAAGAGCAGATGAGGTCAAACCGTGTAACGTGAGTGTGGTCTTTGATAAAAAATCACCTTTTCATAACATATATTAGTCATCATCATGCCGTCTATACATAAAATCAGAGGGCTCATAACTTGTTCAATTTATAGTATTTGTTTAAGAAAAATTCAGCCTATGACAAATCATGAAACATAAAGTCAGATGTCATTGTTCTGTCCATATATTCGAGACCAATTATGAGACAGTGCAGGTTTCTATTCTGTCCATCGTTTCCTTTAAAGAACTACGGGGTTTAAAATAGTTCAATAAATCACGACGATGAATACCTCAACATGTGTCAAAGAATTGAAATCTGGTTTTAAAACAGGTGTAAGATGAGCTGTTATAATCACATATTTATCCATACCTTAGAATATTTCAACATTTCCGAACATGATTTATGGAGCAGCAAGCATGCAACGCTTTCAAGTACTACGAAAGTAGCACTGTCCGTGGTGTCAACAACTCTTGTCTTGATTCGATACCTGAATCATAATTGTTTTCAGGAGTTAATTAATAAAAAATTGTTGACATAAAGCATTAAGCATGGGAAATTAGTAAAAACCAAACCTTGGGATCAGATTCATCACTCGTCTCTTACACTCATTACAATAATAGGATCCACCGCGTGGGACCACTTCGGACCCACACCTACACACTGTTATAAACCAATCAGAATCAACATCCTTGATCGTACCGTATACTGCATATTCACCATCCTACAAATCAAAACACACTTAAGTCACTACATTACCCGTAAAGTCAGGCGTGCGTGTGTAGTGTAATATACTCATCTAACCTCAATACAATCTTTCAATGTCTCTATTGTTGCAGCCTTAGTAAGTTCAAGAAAGTCCTCATCCACTGAATAAAGTAGCCCATGATTCATTGAGGTATTTTTTATATCATGGGGCGAAACACCTTCTAAATATTGAGTCAGGATTTTTGCATCATGACACACTTTTGATACCCTGAAAGATTGTTCTAGACGTCCTCTGAACATCGACTTGACTTCGACCTTAAATAGGAAACTCTTACCCATCAAAAAATCAGCAAACTCTTTTGGACTTTCAGTACTTCCATCCTTCATTTGGTGTAAAATAAGAGTCATTAACTGTTCAAAGATTAAATAACTGAAATACATAAAATATATTAAACAAAGTACACATACACTATCTGTCTTTTCCAGCAAAAGGGAGCATGACATATTTAAAATCGAAGCGGCTTCATGGTCAAATAACACAAAGATAGCTGAACCGGAATCATCTCTAACAGATAGCTTGATTAGATATCTGAATAAAAATCACATTTAGTACACTATGCAGCAGAAAATAAAAGTGAATGTCGGGAAAGTAAGAGTATGATAAACTTAACCTTGGGGTGACATTCATAACACGACACCCACAATACGCGCAATAGTACATGGTACCATCAGCTCTCACAGCCCTATTACACTTGCAAGCCAAATAAAACCAATCCCCAGTATTGTTCACAGAAACAACAGTGGCGTACACTATATAGGTACCATCTTGGTAGAATAAAAATCATACATTAGCGTATGGGCAAAATCACCACAATAATAAACATTTAACGTTGGAGGCTGTTATATTTAAAAACATATCATCAATACCTCACTACCATCCTTCAGCAAAGAGATTGTCGTCATTCGTGTGGCATCCAAAAATTCATTTTGCTGCACAACTGTCACGTCATCATAGGGCAACTCAAGAGGTCGACGGTTCGTTGGCACACCAACAATCCTTAAGCAAATGAGACATTTGTGCATAGTTAGCGAGTGAAAAACAGACACATATTTACGGTAGTTGGTAAAAGTCTCAAGGTCTGAATTTTTATACCTTTGTCTGAATGTAACAACCTCTTCTATTTCAGGATTTAACAGGAGACGCGTTCCGTACATGACATTCTGCAAATTTATATTTCTTGCAAATATTCCACACGGGTAGTTTTAAATTAAAATTAACACAAAAGATGACGATAAGGTTTCCATAAAATAATCAACATAATGTTTTTAGTATATAACCATTTGTAGTACCTTGATACGTTTTCACCTTTGCATACTGAATCACAATGATCGCATTTTCCAATGGTTGTCTCCCAAAGAAGCTTTTGATCTTGTCAACGTACTCCCCAAACAGTGTTATATCTAACGTCACCCTGAATCACCAAGTAAAAAGAA